GCCTAGGTGTTCAACTGCAGGTGCAACTCCACTCAGAGGTGCCTCAAAAGCAAGGACTTGGTCAGATGCTTCTGAAAAACCATTTAAAAACCTCTATGAAGCATTACTTGATCTTGACACATATGGGGTCACAAGTCAGAGTTCACCTCAATGGGAACTGTTTTAACTTGTCACAGCTATATACAAAGTTTCCAAAGGAAAGAATTCACAAGTTATTTAAAATTTATCTGATGAGTACCACACAATAAATTTATTAATTTATTTATCTATCTATCTATTTATTTATTTAAACTCTCTTAACTCAATAAATCCAAATTATGAAACTGAGATCTATTTATCAGTTTTAAAATGTACACATACACACACACTGCAAGCCCATTTCCATTACTAGTATAAACACAAATATTTCTATTAGTTTATGACTAAATAACATCCATACAAAGAGATTAAGTAACGTTTAATTGGGGTGGGAAATGGACTATTTTGGTTAAGTATCTAAAGCCCCACTTTGCAATCTTCTTTTCCTAGGAGTACTGCCAAGATTCTTATCAGACACGCTCTAAATTTCAAACTGAACTTATGGTAAACAGTTTTCCCTTTTTTTATTTTAAAGCTTACAATGTCTTCTAGTGGGGAAAAATATACCTAAAAGCAAGAGGAAGAAGTTTAAAGGGCACTGGTTCTAGAAAAGAAACTGATTGATAATTTATAGAGATCAAATTGAGCTCTATTCGTTTAAGCTGGAGGGACATTTGGTTTTAAGTAGTTTTTGCTTTCCATGCAGAAATTACAGAAAATATTTTCCAAAGTTAAATACAATAACAATAGTATTTTAAAGTTATTAGCACACTAATTTTTTCCAGTATGTTAATCATATCATACACATGGTGAAGATGGCACAGAAGAGGGGTAAGTTCAGATCTGTTGTTGTTCACAGGTTACTATAAGTCATAGTCAACTCAATGGCACCTAAAACAACAACAGACATAACAATGAAGTTAAAAAAAACTAGGTCAGAGCTTAAAAATAGAGCCTTAAAAATCAAGATAAATTAAAAAAATCAAGATAAATGTCTAACCTCCTATAGAATTGTATAAGAAGTGCTACTAACATAACAGCTACACACGTTTGACTGGTAGCTGAAGGCTGGTGATTTGAACCCGTTCAGTGACACTGGAGGAGAAAAGATCTGGCAACCTACACTCATAAAGATTTCTGTCTAGGAAACACTTCGGGGAAGTTCTTTTCTGTCCTATAGGGTCACTTTGATGGCACACACCAACAATAACATAGCCATGCACATTGTAACCAATCCTATTTTGTCTCTTCCTGATTGTCCTAGTCCTTTGAGGTCCAAGGGTCCAAAAATCAGATTTTGCTTATTAAGCAAGCACTCTGGAGTAATAGAGAAAACTCACTGCCATCCATCAGAACCAATTCAGCACGGCAGGGGAGGAGATTTCCCATCATTCGTTGGGAGCTACTGTTGGATCCAAACTATCAGAAAGACCTGACCATTTCAAGTTAGCAAGCAACTCCCTACAGGCTGCACCACAGAGAAAAGTGTTAGTTAAAGGCTTGAGCTAAAGTTCTAGTCATAGCTTCTTGTTCAGAAAAAAAAACAAGACATTGTTAATTGGTTAAGGCAGAAACTCCACACAAATGTTTGTTCTCTTAATGGCCATTCCCTACAAAAGAATAAATCTGGAGCATAGTAAAATCACAGAAACCAATAACCTGAAGTCAAATTAATGTTAACTCTCCCACCAATTAAATTATATACCAGTACATTTAAAAAAAACAAAAACAAAAACGTGTGGACTTTAGCTCAGTGACTTTGCACCTTTATGAAAAGGTTCTTGTGAAGGTCCCTGGGGTTGAGTAATGATGAGGCAGAAACTTCTCAGGTTCTAGTATCAGTGGACAGGAGTCATGTCCACAGCAAAGCACTTTCTATCTCAAGGGTAGTTCAACAGCAGCTGACCCAAAGAAGAAGAAGAATCAATCCCGATCAATAGGAAGCTCACTTTCCATTTCTACTTCCTAATACATACATGTAATTTTTATTATATAAATATCTATTGAGAAAGAAGGCTTGGCAGCATAGTAGGTTACATATTTGGCTGCTAACCGAAAGTCTGGGCAGCCACTCTGAGGAAAAAAGATGAGGCAGTTAGTCCCACTGAGATTTATAGGCTTGGAAACCTGACAGAAGATCACTTTGAGTCAGGATCCATGGCAGTGGGTTTGGTTTGGGTTTTTTTCGATGGAAAATACAGTATTCAACTCCCAGTTATACCTACATTTTTTTTAAAAAAAATGTTCCTTCACAAAGGAATATTAGCAACAAACCTTACAATTCAGACACTACTCATGCCAGAGTTGTACTAAGTCATTATAAATAAAAGTTTTCTTTACTTAAATTTACATTAGCATTATTCTTAGTAGATCAACAGAGGCCAGCCTCCTATGACATACTGATCAAATATCAACAACAAACACAGAAATTGAAGATAGGTATCTATCCATGGAGACTAGTTACATATTCTCTTAATATCTAAAACCAAACAAGATTCTAAAGTTGTGTTTTTATCCTTAAGTTAGAATACCGGAAAAAGTTTCTCTTATTGATTCTAATTTTTATTACCTACTTCCAACAACCATTCCTTAATAAACGTTTACACTTACATAAATAACACAAAAAGGTTAATGCATTAATAAATGGCCTTTTATATGTTTCTCTCATTTTACTCACTTTTAATCTTGGGTAACTGTAAATACACAATCTGAAAACAGTAAATATTCACGTAACAAGAACCATATCACTATTCTTTCATCGGACATATTTTGAAATATCATCAGTAGACTGAAAAAGTGATGGGATAACCATTGGGAAGGTATTTATTCAATCTTCTTTTAAAATCTTTGGAAGTCTTTGTCTTTCCTTATTCTGTGAAGTCCTCCTCAGAAAATAAAGGAAGTTCTGGAGGAAATAGTCAAAAGCACGAATCTCCTTCTACAAGAGCAGTTCCCCTGTTGCAAGGTGATGTCATCTCAAGTGCTAGAGCAGCATCTAAAAGCACAAACACTGATCACCAAGTATTTTACACAAAACTTCTCTAGAAAGCCAATTCTGAATCACTTGTTTTATCACACTGTATAGACTGGCAATATTGTAGATGACCATGTAGTCTAAGAAAACCACAGGTTATATTTACCAAAAGCTAAGGTTTATTTTTTAATTGCTTCTTACTCAATAATTCATATTCACTTTGTTTTATAACATTAATTACAACATCAGATGGAATTCTTGCCCTCCTTTCCCGTCACTTTACCGCTCCATTAGCTAATCTCTACTCCCTCTTTCCCCTCCCATTCCTGTCAACCTTCCACAGCTGTTTCTATTTTAAAGATAACTTTTAGAACTATTACAGTCAAACTTATCAAATATAGCACATCATAGTTACTTTATTTAAATAAAAATATTCCATGTTTTGTGGAGCTTCCCATTTATACAGTTTGTAGGAGTTAACTCACAGATCACAATAAAGGAGTTGAAAGAATATTTTCTTTTTGGAAATTTTATAAGCTTAAGGCCATGTGAATGCATTGCAAAGATCTTTTGGGGGGCCTTGGAAAGAGCTTGTGCAAGTTAGGGGTTAGTCTAACCTGAAAGTTAAGCTTGGTTCACTTCATAGTAAATGCACCTTCACCTTCGGTATCACAGACACACAAGATGCTTTGTGAAGGTTAATGGTTTGATTCCTACAGTGCAATTATGAGAATGTGGGATTTTACTGTAATCATATTTCACATAGAGCTAATGAAAAATTAATGGCAAAAATAAGGTCACATGTCAAGTACCACTCTAAAAGGTCTGCTTTTTTATATTTTAGTAGTAGAAAGTTGTATCTAAAAGGAAAGTAATTAGGACAGCAAATAATAAATGTTGGGGATGATGTGGCAAGATAGGAACTCTTATACATTGCTGGAGGGATTGTACAATAGTACAACCACTCTGGAAAACAGTTTGGCGCTTCCTCAAAAAGCTGAACATAGAAATTCCATATGACCCAGCTATTCCATTGTTTGGAATATACTCTGAGAGGATGAAAACCAAGACACAGAGACTTGTGCACTACTGTTCATAACAGCGTTACTCACCATCACAAGAACATGGGAACAGCACAAATGTCCAACCACAATCGAATGGGTTGAGAAATTATGGTACATTCATACAATGGAATACTACACAGCACGCAGGAGCAATGATTTTGTAAATCACCTAACTTGGGAGGGACTGGAGAGTATTATGCTAAATGAACTAACTCAGTACCATAAGGCTAAATATTGTATATGACCACTATTGTAGAGCATATATGAAGATCCAAGCATGGGAGGAGAAAACAGTGGGTGACAATGGGCACAGATGGGGGCGTTAATCACACAATTTGTGGTCACACAATTTGATGGGTGGAGGGAGGGATGGGTAAAGGGAACGGGAATGATCTATTGTGAAAAATAATGTATATGAACTTTGTAAATAAACCAGTATAAAATAAAAATTTATTTTTTAAAAAAGGAAAGTAATTATTTGGTGTAGTATTGATATCTCCTTACTGAGGAAAAAGACTGCCAAGCAATCTTTATTATCTCTTGATTTATAAGCTCATAGGGCAAATAACTGAAAAGGAAAATTAACACATAATCTTTCTGGAGTATTTGTTAGTCTAAATTCACATTGTTGCATTCCAAAAAATGCAGATTAGTTTTAGAGAAAAAGATGTAAACCCAGTGAAAAGGAATTTCATCCCAGAGATGAAAGCTACTTTTGGCTTTTAAGTGGCATGACTCTGTCTATCAGAAGCTCTCACAGAATTCATCACCAGAGAGGGTGTTAGCTAAAGAACCTAGTCTTCAATAAGATACATTCCTTAATATACATCACAGAACTTGGAGTATGAAAAATGAGGCCTACCCAGTGCAGAATATAACAATCCTCAGTGCTGGTGTTCCATGCGACGGAAGTCAGCCTCCGAAGCCTGTGACAAAGGAGACCCTGATACCTATAAATAAATAACCGCGCATCAGACACAAGTTTTTACTCCTCAAATACCTCAATTCTTCCCCCCCACCCCCAGCATTCATTGTTGCACATTTGTCCCCTCCTAAGGCTCTGCCCCCAGAACACTATCCTCTTGGAAAAGTAAAAGAAAAATTCTTTCATTGTTTTATAAACCCTCCCCCCAGGTCCACTCCACCATGTAGCCATTGCTCTAGACTCCTGTCATGACAAAAATACCTAATCATAACTCTTTTAAACAGTTTTCTCCCTCCTCTGTTTCAGTGCAGTCAGTATACATTATTGAACCCATCTTACTCAGTCTCTCCCCAACCCCAAGGTCTGTCCCATTCTACAACAGTGGCAC